GAGGGTGCAGAGTGGGGGAGGGGTGAGCTGGGTGCAGGGGGGTGCAGTGGGGGGAAGGATGCTGAGTGGGGGCGGGGTGAGCTGGGTGCAGTGGGGGGAGGATGCAGAGTGGGGGAGGGGTGAGCTGGGTGCAGGGCGGTGCGGGGGCTGGGAATGGCAGCAGGGTGCAGAGTGGGGGAGGGGTGAGCTGAGTGCAGGGGCTGGAGCCCAAGGCAGGGGGGTTCTGTGCAGGGGGGGAGGAGGTTGGCCCATCTGAGTGAGTATTAAAGCCAGGCGGGGGTGCGTGGCATGCAGTGGGGGTGCACCGAGGGGGAGGAGAGGCGTTGGGGTGTGGCTGGGGTGCAATGGGAGAGGGGGTGGCACTGGGAGGAGTCGGGGGTGTCAGGAGGGGTGGGGGAGAGGGGTGCTGCTGGGCCGAAGCTGCCCCACTGCGACCCCTCACCCCCCATTCTCCAGCAGGCTGTGCCAGGCGAGAGCTGGAGGATTGATTGGCTCAGGCCTGGCAACGCTGCCCTGGCCTCAGAAATCCTCCCCGAAGTAGCGTCCTTGGCCCGGTTTGGCATCTGTGCTTGGTGCCCGGGGGGGCGAAGGGGGGCTGGGAAAGTCCCCGGTGCGGAGAGGCCCTGTCCTCGGAATGACCCCCCGGGGCGCCAATCGCCCCACAATCACACGGGCCCCAGCAGGGCCTGCGCGTTACTGGAAACCACTTCCTGTGCCAGACCCGCTGCCGAGGAGTGTGATCCCAGAGCCAGGCGCTTAACAATGGAAGGAGATGAAGCGCGTACCCCAAATGTGGGGGGCGGGGGACAAACGAGGGGCGGCGGATTTCTGCCCCAGGGGAGCCTGCCCGTGGTCTGCCCACTGCCCTCTGCGGCTTGCATGAGCTGAAATTGGGGGTGGTACATGGGGGTGTCTCGGCATTTTAACCATTCGGATTGGAACTCTTTCTCCCTCTCCCAGTAAACAAACAAGCCCTGCGCGTCCCAGGTTCAAACCCTCATGGGACGGATTCGTCCTTCCCCGGCGGGGACATGGCGCACAGGCTGCTGAGCCAATGGGAGGTCTTTTCTTCTCCGCTCCAGGCACCGCGTTTCAGGGGCCCTGTGTGCACCCGGGGGTGCTGCGGGACAGCAGGGCTGGGCGCTAACCGAGGAACAGCACAGAGACGTGACTTTTCCACCTCCTCCGCCCGTGCGGAAAGCCCGACAATTCCGCTTCCTCGGGTTGTCTGCACGGGGGGGATCTTGCTCCGTAACGCCCCGTGCGGGCAGGCGTTCTTCTTCCGCGCGAAGCCTCTGGCTCTGAATTGGGCTAACGTGGGTTAAGGTGCTTTGGAGGAAGGCCTGGGGACGTCACCTTTCAGTACAGCCCAGGCCGCGTGGGAGTCAGCGGGCTGCTGCTAGCATTCCAGATAAAGCCTTGAGGCCTTGTCTGTACAGACAACTGGCCCTGTTTAGCTGTCCGGGAGAGCGAAAGTGAGTAGTGAACTAGCGTCCACACTGGGGCTTGGCCTGGTGTCACTCGGCCAGTAAAATAATAGAAAATCACGCCCCCTTCCCCCAGCCAACACGACAGGCCGACCTTTGCTACTGGGCACTTCAAGAGGATGAAGAGTTTGGTTCAAACCGCCTTTGTTGGAAATCTTGCTGGCTGTTCCTCACGGGGAGAGCAGGGGAATCTCTTTTCACTTGTTTTTCTTTGTGCCTTGGTCAGCACTTTGCATATCGTCAGTTTCACTGTTTGCACGGTTTCCTCGGTACCTGCGCTTGTGTTTGTGTTGTGTTCCGCACGAGCACGGACGGCGCCACGTGAAAAATGTGATCATAAGACCGCAGTTGGCAGAGAGGCAGGTGCAATGGCTCAAACGACTTTGAACTCGCTCATAGCCTAGATATCAAGATAACTGAGCTCCCTTTAAACCTGGCAAAGGCTTTCTGTTTGCTGGGCCCAGGTTTGTCTTTGAGGCGTAGTCCCGGGGTTTTAAGATTGGGAGATAGCATCCAGTGCTTGAGGCTTTTCTTTCCGGGAAAGCAGCATCCCAAAAATTTCCCTTGTAAACAAGATAATAATGGGACCTAAATAATTGAAGGGAGATGGTTTTGCTTAATGGGCGAAGCCTTTCTCTCAAAGCTAGCATTGATTTTTAGCGTAGGATTCTCCATCACTGGCCATTTTAAAATCACGCTGGGATCTTATTGCTGCAGGGAAGTGCTGTGGCCTGGGTCAGGCGAGATTACTTAGCCCGGCCTCAGAGCGGGGGACAGGCCTAGGTGACTTACTGAGATCCCTTCTAGTCCCATGGTTCTGTGGTTCCTTCTGGCCGTGGAGTCTCTGAACTAGTGAAGGGGAAGCAGGGAGAACACTTCTGCTTTCATCGTGAGGGCGTTTGTGATTCAAACACAGCGAGGTTCTGCCGAAGACGAGACATTTATCCGGGTAAGGTAGATACGTTTGGTAGCTGAGACCACGGCTCATCCCGATACCTTCCCCTGGCTGTAGCTGCCTGTTGGCTCTTGGCCTACGTGGTACGGTGCCTGCCACCACTGTCTCCTGCCCCACAAGTGGGGTCCTGTGCTCTCGGCAGCATCTGCAGGGAGAGGATTGTAAATCAGGGCGTTTCAAGGAGCATCTCCCCTCCCGCGCGCGTACATTATTCCATCGTTGTTCCCTGCGGGGTTTCTTGCACCTTCCTCTGAGCTGTCCCGAGCTGGCCTTTGTGGACACAGGTGATGGGCTTGGCTGGAGGCTGGTCAGAGCTGACGTGGCCGTGCCCAGCGCTCCTATGCCAGAGAGGGAATGGGGCATGAAACCGCCTGGCCGAGAGTAAACAAACAGCCTGACTTGGGAACGGTGACAAGAGGGAGCGACACGGACGCCTTCTGTGACCCTGAGTGAGCCCCTGCCTCAGTTTCCTCATCTGTAAAATGCTTTCCTGCCAATGGGCGAGTGGTAAAGATTGAGGTGCTCGGATACCACAGTCATGGGGCCATACACGGACCGATGCCTTTTCCCCCCAATGTGTTTTTAATGGAGCGGTTACCTAGGTGAGGAGTAAAATTGCTGTCCACAGATCCAAATGGGGTGAATACCTGGGCAGGTGGTAATTTGGCGCGGGAGCAGGGAATGCTTCGTGTATCGTATGGAGCCTGCTCCGCTTGGCAACCCCTCATCTGATGCCAAAAACCTATTGTTGAGAATAAGTCTCTGTAATTCTGAGGGTGAAGACTTGCCCTGGAAGGGGAAGGGTGTGTGGGGATGGGTAGAGAAAGGGTTTTGTGGCTTTAGATTGGCCCAGAATTGTCAATGCCTTATGCCCCCCGGCTGCCTTCGGTTGCGACCCACCAGTCGAGTAGCATTGATGTGGGCTTCGATGCAATGACTCTTGCTTGCAAATTCTTCCAAACGTGCCTCTGTTAAATGAAAGAAGACATTAGATCCATAAACAAAGCGCCAGTGAGTGGGACTTAAAAACAGCTTCCACCCATGGGAGTCTGCGAGCTGGTCTACGCTGGGCGCGTACGTCGGCATCGTGTGAAAAATCCACCCCCTGAGAGACAGAGTTATGCCGACCTGACCCCCATGCAGACAGGGCTAGAATTGCTGTCGACCTAGCTACCGCCTCTGGGTTACCCAGGCTGACGGGAGAACCGACTGGCAGCGTGAGCTTGAGTACGGCTACGGGGATTGCCGCTCGGGTAGAGGTGCCAGTTCTCCCTTCAAGCTAGCGTCTACCGGGGCAGTTCGTTCCCCTTCCCGTGCGGTGCACGTCCCGCCGGGGTGACTGGGCCCACGCTAGGAGTGTTCCCCCGTCACCAGACTGGCATAGGTAAAGGGGCCTGGCTTTTGCATGGAGATAAGGCCTTTCTCTGTATAGGGGGCACCCCGCAGAAGGGGGTCTCTAGGCTTTACCGTCGTGCCACCGGGGGCAGGTTAGAATCTGAGCCGGAGATCGCGCCGCAGCCGGAAGGAACTGGCTCTGGCTGGTGGCTGGGGGGAGCGTATGGGACTTCAGCCCAAGAGATCTCCCTGGAGGCTTTCGGGGGCGGGGGGAATACGGTCCGGTTCTGTCCAGTGCCCGCCCGCAGGAGGGCGGACGACGCGGAGCACTCTGGGAAATCCGTTGGTCTCATTCGAACTCGTGTGTTGTTTCTGGCCTTCCCTTCTGAGCGTGGCGAGAACTGCCCCTGAGGTCTTTGCGCACTGCAGTTCGCCCTGGGCAAAGGCCGAGGGCCTGGATCCCCTGCCCGTGGTGCTGGGTCAGGGACCCAACCCCCGGTGCTGGGCAAAGCAGGTGCTTCCGGAGGATCTGCCGGCTGGAGCAGCCCCCAGGCCTGGCTCGGCCCGTGGTTGGTGCTGGATGCTTCAAGGACAGCAGCAACCAGGGGATAAGCTGCGCCCGTTCGAATAGTTCGCTTGCTTAAGCCCTGGGGTAGGAGGAGGGTTAATGACCCTTCTCAAACTGTTCATTAACTATGACGACTCTGGCTCTTCTTGTTATGCACATAAATCTCCAGGCCCTTCTTGTATCTTCCTAAGTTCTTGGCCTCAGCAACTTCATGTGGCAGTGAGTTCCGCAGTCTCGCCATGGTGTGTGGGCAAAGTCTGTCCTTCGGCCAGCTGTGCATTTCCCACTGTTGAATGTCATTGGAGTCTCGTTGTGCTTGAGTTACCAGCCAAGGCGAACGGGAGCTCCCGGTCTCCCTTCTCTAGACCAGCCATTTTACCCCCCCCGCCGCGCCGCGCTCGTCTCCTTTCTACGGTAACCAGTCCCACTGTCTTCTCAGGACTGTTGGTCCAGGCCCCTGATTGTTCTGACTGGCCTCCTGTGAACGCCACCTAATTCTGTAATAACTTCACCTCCTGCCAGTAAGATTTGGAGAGGATTTGAACCTGTGACCTCACACGCTCTGTCCTGGCGTGGGGCCGGGGCCTAGTTTAATACCTGTCAGGCTCAAGCCCCTAACCCCTGGGGGCCTCTCTCCAGGCTGAGCGGGGTCCTGTCTCTGCTCCTGCGTCGTCATACTTGTGTGCACACCTGGCTGCTGGCGATGGCCGCAGCGTGCCGATCGGGTATCCGTGCCCCGCTGTGAGCAGAAGGGAGCTGGCTAACGCCGAATGAGGGGCAAATATTGCTTTAGTAAGTTAACAGCGGTGCCAAAAGACGCCAAGCTGAGATCAGGCCCCCATTGTGCCGGGCGCTGTACGTACACCTAGGATGGGACTGTCCCTGCCTCAGCGCGCTTAGTCTAACGAGACACAGATGGGCCAGAGGAAGTGTCACTGTCCCTTTTACTGAGGCGCAGGGAAATGAGGTGACACGGGGAGTTGGACGCAGGCGAGCGCTGCTCGTAATGTTTCTCCGGGCACGTTTCTAAAGACTGGTTGAGAAGATGCTCTGCTTTTCGTAAACCTCCCCAGAACCCCTTAAACAGAAGGTGCTGCCCCTTCCCCACGGCCCCCGCCCCACGCTCGAGTGTTACAACCGTGCTTATTTTGTTCTTCAGATTTCCTCTTCAAGTTCCTGGTGATAGGAAGTGCTGGTACTGGGAAGTCCTGTCTCCTGCACCAGTTTATAGAGAATAAATGTGAGTAGCCCTGTACCTGTGGCCAGTGTTGTTGTTCATTGAACTGATTTCTGTTCTGCTCCGGTGTCTTTCCGAATACCCGAGACCCCCCGGACTCATCCGAAGGGAAAGATTCCCCTGCACAGTTGTTGCCAGAAAGACAATTGAATTTGCCTTCCGGTCTGTCCTTCAGCTCCAGAACTTGCCTTTACAAAAGAAACTGGCGAAAGAGTGGGAGTTTTCACCTCCAAACATGTGGTGGAGATTTTTTTTTATCACGACATTTTAAAACTTCAGCCTTCTTGAAAACCACCTTCTTTTTTTAAATGGGAAAACTGAGACGGCTCGACTAGACTAACTGGAAATGCAACGTGAAACCCCTCCTGCTTTGTGGTTTTCATTGCAAATGTCTTTGCACAGCTCTGGCTTCCTCCATGTGTTCAGCAAATTATAAAATTGTATCCCAAAGGGGCGTCCCATGTTAGTAAAGAATCCGCCCGGCGCTTGACTTTCACACACTGTTGTGTACTAGGTTAACCGTGCCAAGGAAATGAAAAGGGCGCACGCACACACACACACGCGCCCACACCCACACACACCTCCTAGTTGTTGACACATCATCCCTGCTGCTTCTTTAGCAGGCTTGACTCCCCATGTGAGCAGATTTGTGCTGGGTTATGACCGCTGCCTGCGTTCGATTTTGAAGCTGCCGCAGTGGGGTGCTGTGGCGTTCATGGCTTTCTGTTTAGGTGATGCGACTTCCGGGGGGCTGGGCACAGGCTGGGAGATTGCATGGCAGCGCTGGATCATATTGTATCGCTTCAGTAAGCCCTAAAAATAATGTAAATTACTCCCCCCACCACGTCGCTCTGCAGCAGCCGGAGCCTCCAGTCTGCGCAGGAATCGGATTGAAGCAATTGCAGGTCGCTGGGGCTCTCGGGTATCAGCACTTGGACTGGAAGCTCCTGGTTCCGGAGCGGCTACGCCTTGTAGCTGACCCGTAAGCGGCCAGGGGCCTTCTCGGTCAGTCACTGATTTGGGATCTCTCCCTTCTCCAGTCAAGCAGGATTCCAACCACACGATTGGAGTGGAGTTTGGGTCGAAGGTGGTTAACGTCGGTGGGAAAACGGTGAAACTGCAGATCTGGGATACGGCGGGACAAGAACGGTTTAGGTAAAAAAAAAATCCACCTATCCAGCGAATGAGCATTTGAAATGTCTCTGGAGTGTCGTCCAAGGAAGGTGTGCCGTAGCAGACAGCTTTCCAGGCTAAATCTGGAGACGGGGTAAAATATCGTTAGTGGTCCCAGAAGCCTGCGAAAGGGGTGTCTTGCGTGCGGGAGTTTTACAGGGATCGCTTTTCCCATACCCATAGAGGTGCAGCCACCTCTGGGGCGGGACATGGCAGGTGGTTACCAGCACAGCACAACGCTCCACGCCGGTGTAACACAGGACAGGCCTGTGTGCAGATAGAGGGATGCTGTACTTAGATTTAGTCCTGGAGCCTTGACCGTATTTCTGCTCTCGTATTACGGCAGCACTTAACGGACCCCAACCGAGATTGGGGACCTCATTGTGCCCGGTGCTGCACAGCGAGACACGGTCCCTTCCCTGCAGAGGTTACGGGGCAAACAGGCAAGAGCCAGAAAGGGCGGGAGGGGAAACCGAGGCACGGCAGGGTGGGGACTTGTCCAAGGTCATGTGGCAGGTCAGTGGCTGAGCTGGGACTGAGCCAAGCTGTCCTGACTCCCAGCCTGGTGTCCTGCCCACTAGACCCTGCTGCCACCCGGCCACCTAACGCTTGGCTGCTTGTAGCTTTCCCTGCCGCCTCCGTGTGCGATTTAAAAAGCCCCCAGTCCCTGAGCCTGCTTGCTCACGGGGCTGCGGCTCGGGGCCAGGGGCGCGGCAGCAGGGTCTCTGCTCCTCTGGGTCTCCCCAGAGCTTGAGGGGTGTGGACGATGGCCGCGGGGCTGCGTCTCTGATCGGGGACCCACCCCCAAGGGCAGCGCAGAGACACGCCCTCCTTTCCATTGGGCTTGGGGTGTGGGGCCTTTCCCCGCTAGGACGCTGGCCTCGATCCGCCCCGGGCGGGGGCTGGCTGGTCTCAGCGGGGTGGAGAATGGTACGCAGGACCTTCCCCTCTGCTCCGTCCCTGGGGTGTGGGGCCTTTCCCCGCTAGGACGCTGGCCTCGATCCACCCCGGGCAGGGGCTGGCTGGTCTCAGCGGGGTGGGGAATGGAACGCAGGACCTTCCCCTCTGCTCCGTCCCTGGGGTGAGGGACTGGCGGGGCACTGGCAGCCACAAGGAACTCGTTCCAGTTTGGCTCCAGCCGGGGGGATGGAAGGTTGCTCCTGTCTGAGATGGATCCGTGGGGCAGGGGCCACAGCACAGAACCGCACCGGGGGGAGCCCCCCCCGAGAGTGTGTGGTCGAGCCCCCGTCTCAGCCCTGGGGCAGGTTGGCCAGCGTCTAAGAGGAGCCAGCCACACTGGCCCTGTCCGCTCTGGGGTGGCCGCCAGAAACTCACCTCGTGCCATGCTTGTCCCTTCGGCTCCTCCGTTACCCAGCAGCCCGACGCCTTCCCCCCGCCCCTTTTCCACGGGGCTGTTCCCGAAATGGCTCCTGGCCTCGCTGATCGCTCCGAGTCTCTCTCCTCGCCCTCTAGGTCGGTGACTCGGAGCTACTACCGCGGTGCAGCCGGGGCCCTGCTGGTGTACGACATTACCAGGTGAGTGTTCATCGCCGGGGGGGCGACTCTCCTGACTGTGGTTCGGGGTGATGCCCTGGCGGCCCCCCCCCCCCACTGGGGGCTCCCAGGAAGGGCGCGAGCTCCCTGGGCAGGGTTCCAGACAGAACTAGATTAAAGCCACAGAAACGGAACCGGAACAAGCCCCCCCATGAGCATCCGCGCCGGGGAGCCGGGCCAGTCCCACCCCAGTGGCCGAGCTGAACCGGTTCTGTTCTGCTCCTCGACTTGGCCCCGTCGGAACGCCCCCCGGGTCCGTTCAGCCCGCGGCCGAGGTCTGCCAGCAGCGGGCGCCGCACAGGGACCCCCTGCCGGGGGAAGGTGGACGCGAGGCGTATCAAATGGGGTTTGGAAGAGCAGGGCCTGGGGGGCAGCCCCTAATCTGGGATCTGCGAGATGTGCCCCTGCTACCCCCTCTGTCCTGTGTTGCAGCCGGGAGACTTACAACGCACTGACTAACTGGCTGACGGACGCCCGGACCCTCGCCAGCCCCAGCATCGTCATCATCCTCTGCGGGAACAAGAAGGACCTGGATGCGGACCGGGAAGTGACCTTCCTGGAAGCCTCCCGCTTCGCGCAAGAGAACGGTACCGAGCCGGGGCTGCTCTGGGGGTCGTTAGCTTTGACTGTGACGCGGTCCTGCCTGGCCCTTTCCCTGTGCGGGGGTGAGGGGGTGTTCCGGTCCCCTGCCTGCTTTGCCATGGCACCAGGCCTCAGTGCTGTGCAAGTGTCCTGCGATCTCCCC